CATATATATATCATCATTTGGATGCAAGAATATGCAACTACATTATATCCAAAAAGTAGCACTTTATCTGTTTGATTCGAGATAAGTGGCGTCAGTTTGTGGTCTCTCATTGCGTGGAGTGGCCAACTTCGATATGAAGTTTTAATTAATACAGCATAGTATGATTCTATGCGCAGTGATTGAATTCAGATACAATTCGGATGCTTTTATGATGCATATGTTGGCACTTTTATAGGTCTAAATATCAAGTATTGTATCCGGATATTATACAGGTAGTACAGTTGACTGAGTATAACGAACCGAATGTCTGTACGCAAAAATTTAAAAAAGTTCCTTATAACGAATTGACTGCCTTTTATACCGAACTCAAATTTTCTAAAGTTTTCTAAAACAAAACAGTATAGAATGATTCCATTATATTGATTTAACTGTAGTTTTATGCGAAACCCAGACGTTTCGCGTCGACGAAATACAAATCCTAATTCGCCGTTCGTCAATTAAAATTTTACATGGCTAAATGGCCAAACTGATAAAAATATTACAAAAAGTGAATATAACGAAACTGACAAATGCTTGTGAAACGGTCTGACTAGAGTTTGGAACCGGTTTTATTTTTCATATGTAAAAACTGATTAAAACCGGTTTTAACATATGAAAAATAAAACCGGTTCCAAACTCTAGGTCTGACATCGGTGCAATTTTTATTTGGTTGACGGGTTGACACCACCTAAGTCCAGCTATCAACAGTACAAAGGACTGAGCTTGAACTAGGCCATGTGTTCCAGAGACTGGACGACACACAAATCGTTCATTACCTTAATATTTCTAAAAAAAAAATATCCAACAACAATTTCTTAATTTCACCACTATTAAAAAAAGCAGTTTTGCATTAAAATTTATTATTATATTAACAACCATACTGATTGATTAATCCAAACGTAGTAATAAAACTTACGTGAATAACATCATTTCATTAGATTTGAATAAAATTAACCTTTCTTCGGTTAGTTTTGATTGCTTTAAATTATAGGTAATGAACTAGCTTTTATAAACTTCATCAGTATAATTAAATTCTATATTATCCTCAGTATTTAGTTTTTCGTCATATTTCGATAATTCTAATAAAATTTTTTCATCATTTTGCCACCTTTCTAAGCTCTTATAAATTTCTTGTGCAGATGAACGTTCTTCTGGTCTTCTTTTCCAACAATTGTTCATAAGATTTACATAAACTGATTCTATATTTTCAATAATAGGGGGTCTTAATTCATTAAAAATTATTTCCATTTGAAGCTGCGATCCAAATTCTCGATTATAAGACTGGTCTTCCATATAATATTTCCCACAAAATTATTCCAAATGAATAAACGTCAGATGCTTTTGTATACGGATTTCCTTCTAAAATCTCTGGTGCTATGTATGGCAAAATTCCATAAATTCCCTATGCTTCATTAAATGAATTTGATAGTCCTAAATCTGCTATATATGCGTTTTCTATAGTCTTGTAAAACATTACCACTATGCAAATCTCGATGAATAAATCCTCTAGAATGAATTATTTGAAAGTCAGTTGCGACACAAAGTAGCAAATTTAATTTGTCTTTCAACTCCATTTGTGCGATTTTACTAAGGTGTTGACGTAATGAGACTATACTCGCGTAATTCAAAACAAGAATATGATCTTTAGAAACTTCATCTATTGATGAAGGGTTTTAGTAACCAGTGTCACAGTATGCTTTTAACTTTAAGTATGTAATAAGTTAGCAAATAAGAAATTGATATAAAAATAAAAAAAAAGAAACAAAATTAAAACTACCACTTTATTGAATGCTTCATGATTTTCCTTTGATCCATGTAATAAGTGCAAAGTTGTGTATTACCCGTAATTTTTGTCCAACCATTTAGCACGAAATACTGTTGCAAACCCACCTTGTCCTATCCTTTCAATATCTTCAAATTCTTCGTAAGGAATCCATATTAATGGATAATTCTTTCCAGTCAATAAATTTTTTAAACGATCATCAATACTAGCATTTTCATAAATCCGTTCACTCAATTCTAGAAAATTTATTTTAATATGAATCAATTAAAGGTAGCTAAATAACGTCGCAACTATGCTGATATTTGTGGTTTTTATTTAAATCTAATAAAATCTATCTATTTGTTGTCAAAAATTCTAACTTAAAACATTCTGACCTTAAAAAAAGGTAAAGAATGTATTACAAAGCATTTTAAAATTAAATTTCAGCATCATCTACTTCAACATTTTCAATAAATGCCATATTAAATCGTGAATAAGTTTCCAGTTTAACATAAGAGTGCTTATTCATGATATGATTAAAAAAATTTATCACATTATATGATACGGGATAACTAAAATTACCTGCCATTTTTCTTGTCTTTTACTTGTCTTTTCTCTAATTTATTATAAAAAAATTAATATAATTTAAAGACTATAAAATTAAAATTAAAAAAAATAGTAATTTACTTTTGGTACCAATAGTTAGCTTTTTGTAAATCTCTTGATACTCCAATCCCATTTCGATAATAACGGCCAACGAGTTCCATCGCAGTAGAATGCCCCATTTCAGCCGCTTGCTTATAATAATCAAATGCCTTGTTTTTATCTTTTTCAACTCCAATTCCATAAATATAGCAAGCTCCAAGCTGTGTCGTCGCGTAAGCATAGTTCATATTAGAAGACTTTGATAACAAATAAATGCCTTATGTTCATCCTTTTTAACTCCGATTCCATGTTGATAACAATTACCAAGATTAAATGTTCCATTTGCATGCCCTATCTCAGCAGATTTTTGATACCAAATGAATGCATTATATTCATTAACTCCAAAATGAAAACAAAATCCGATATTATTCATTCCATTAACATTTCCTACAGTACGGGACAGCAAAAAACATCCAATTTTTTTATACAAAGCGCCAAATTTACAATTATTTAATCAATTTTGAT